ATTCTAAAGTGGTCTTGGCTTGGATAACGTCACCATCAGGTCGATGGAAGACATTTGTCGCACACCGCGTTGGCGAAATACAAGAGTTAACCGCGTGCAACGAATTGTCACACGTCCCCACTCACGACAACCCGGCGGACGTAATTTCGCGCGGGTGCAATGCCGAGGACATCGAAAAAAAATCAATTTGGTGGTGCGGCCCGGAATGGTTAATTAAAGACGCCAGTATGTGGCCGAAACCGACAAATGTTGATAAATCCGAAGTAGAAAAAATGCCCGAAGAAAGGAGTCACACAATGTCAAATACGCATAATCTCATATGTACGTTATCATTGGATTTTCCACTGTTGACTACTCGTTCGTCATTAAAACAGATTATCCGAATAACGGCGTATTGTTTACGTTGGCGAAATAACGGACTAAAGAGTCGCACAAAACGTGTCATCGGGCCGTTAGACGTAAATGAATTAGAATACGCAAATTTGGCGTTAATTAAAATGATACAAAAAAAACATTTCCAAAAAGAAATAAATGAACTTAAATCACAGAAGGCGCAAGTAGCTGGCAATAGTGTGCTGATACGATTACGACCCTTTTGTGACGAGAAAGGTCTATTACGCGTAGGAGGACGTTTGGCAAATGCAATTGAGTTAAGTGAATTTCAGCGACACCCAATTGTGCTTCCTCGTGACAGTACATATACGCGATTATTATTTCAAAGTGAGCACGTAAATTTATTGCATAGTGGTCCACAGGCCCTCGTGGCAGCCATTCGGCAACGATATTGGCCCTTAGGAGCACGCAGTATAGCACGGAAGATTGTGCATAGTTGCATTACGTGTTTTAAACAAAAACCTATAATAGTACAGCCAATAATGGGTAACTTACCACGCGATCGAATTACGTGCAGCCGGCCATTCTCGCGATGTGGAGTCGATTTTGCCGGTCCCATACTGATAAAGTCAAGTTTACGGCGAAACGCGCCGTGCGATAAAGGCTATATATCTATATTTGTGTGTTTTGCTACTAAAGCGATACACATAGAATTAGTCAGTGATCTAACGACAAAGACGTTTTTGCAAACGTTAAACCGGTTTTTCGACCGTCGCGGAAGGTGCGCGGTCATATACTCGGACAACGCGACAAACTTCGTGGGCGCTCGCAGACAGCTTCGAGATGTATATAATTTATTTCAATCCGATCAACATCAAAACACAGTTTGTGCAACATTCGCGGAGAAAGGGGTGGAGTGGAAGTTAATACCACCACGATCTCCACATTTCGGTGGCCTGTGGGAGGCGGCGGTTAAGTCGATGAAGAATTTGTTATCTAAGGTGTTAGGTGAATCTCGCTTAACTTACGAAGATATGAGTACTGTACTGACTCGGTTAGAAGCATGCTTAAATTCTCGTCCCATTACCTCCCTGTCTTCCGACCCATCCGATCTTTCCTATTTAACGCCTGGTCATTTTTTAATCGGTGATGCTATTACCGCCGTACCCGAAAGGGATGAAACGGCTACTTCCGTGACGCCGTTGGAGCGTTGGAGAAAGGTTACCCAATATTCACAACTACTTTGGAAGCGCTGGAGTACAGAGTATCTGGGTCAACTACAGGAGCGTGTAAAATGGACTCAATCAAAGGGGCCAAATTTAAAGATAGGATCTGTGGTGTTAATACGAGACACAAATTTGCCCCCTTTGCAGTGGCGTCTCGGTCGGGTCCTCCAAATCCATGCAGGAAGGGACGGAATAAGTCGGTCGGCGTCCGTAAAGACGAAATTTGGGGAAATTACAAGGGCAGCTCGTCTACTTTGTCCGCTACCAATCGACAACAATCAATATTAAATAAAAATCTTTTATATGTTTTATTTATTTATTTATTCAGTAACATTAAATTATATTTGTTCAACTATTACCGTATCAGGTTGTTGTTATTAGTCAATTTATTATATTTTGTTTATTCTTTTTTTTTATAAATTATTTGTAATGTATGTTAATTATTCTATTATCGAATTTGTAATTTTTATTGTTCAATTTGTTGAAATATTATTTATATTTCAAGGTGGGCGGCTATGTTGCGTACGCGAGATATTTTACTTATATAATAAAATTGGTAGATACCGAAACGATTATTTGTATAGAGTATAAATGTAAGATAAGATACGTCCGATAGAGCGGTCTTCGATGACGGGCGATCGGCCGTCGCAGTCGCAATAAAACCGTACCAGTGTAACGTACGCGTCGTAGCCGTTCAATATTAATATTCGATTATGAACTAGCGAATAAAGAGAAATAATATTAATTCAATGTTATTGTTTTATTAAATTAAGCATTGAGCTATCGTAATCAAAATGTTTTTCGCTCATTTAAGTACATTTTTTGGTTATTTTTAAGTTGATTTTTTAGGTTATTTAGAATTATTTTCAGTGCATTTCTTAGGTCATTAACATGTTGACTACCATACGGCCTCCGGCGTCCGTATAAAAATAATTAAATTAGGTATTGATAATTTTTAGACCGCCGACTACCACATCATATCATTCGTAGGAGGCCATACGGTGGCGGGCTACCATAAATAAATTTGGATTTATATTATTAACTTTTCCGTGTGGCGCTACAATAATGATCTAGAAAATGCACTTTGGCTTAGTGGAAATAATTGTAATTTTTTGATGTATAAAACATAATTTTAACATTTTTTTGTATTTTTAATTTTTTTTCAAATTCAATAGTATTTATACAAAATTTATAATGACACTGAAAAATGAACTTGGCGTACAAATAGTCAATATTCAAGAGGCCGCCGGCGGCCACACGGCAGTCATCGTGTAAGCCTATAGGACCTAGATCAACAGTAAGGACTATAAAATATGATTTGTGAAAATTAAATCGTGTAGCGCTGCGATGTAGTGAATTTCATACAATATATTCTTCTGATATATCCCGGGCGTTTTGTTTCATTCGAGGGTGTCAGCCTAATATCAGCCCACGGATCATGATACATATTGTTACATACAACATATTAATTTTAATTATTTAAATATTGGTTAGTGGTTACATAAACGATAAACAAATTACTATATTACTACGAGATATTCCTTGCTCATGCAACGAACCTCGCGTTTTTGTTACCATATTTTTGAGGGCCACACTACACGCTCTTTGCTGACCGCGATTGGATGACCGTGTTATTATATATTTATAATAGGTATTAAAATAGTGATCCGACCGACGTTAGATTATAATATAATATCTCATATGCAGTAGGAAGTGCAATCGTGCATTATTTACGCATGATCCTATATTCTGTATATTACAACGTGCCTTAAGCCTTAGGTAAAAGCGGATCCCAGTCCCTCACCGGCATAGGCGTAACATAGACTCTATTCACGTGGGAGAAGAATAATTTTTGAAAATCTCTACACATTTTCTTAATTTTTTTTTTTTTTTTATTTGAGGTAAACAATCTATACCTTAGGGGCACAATAAGTTTATATGATGGTTAGAATAAATTACACATGATACGCTTGATGTGAGAAGTCATCCACTAATGACACTCAATATTGATTTTTTTTTTTATGTATAAAATTATTTAAACAACTGAAGCTCTCATTTTGAATTAGTTGATGGGAGGGGTGTGAACAAGTAGGTACAAGTAGTAATTTTGCGGTTTAAGTGTTTCACAAATCAACTTCAAATCTATTCCAGATGGCTTACGGCATCGTTAAGCTATATTTTGGCAAAAAAAAATCACCATTAAGTAAATTTTAACTAGTATTACGATTGAAAATAGTTTTGAAAGTGACGTCACTGTTTCATCGATTTTAAAGCAGAAAGATTGAATTTTGACCATACAAACCGTGATAATATTTTCATATGAACGACGAACTGTTCGTTGACATAAAAAAAACCCGAATTTGTTCATTCAATTTTCATATGGGTCTTTTATTGACACCTGTAGGCTGTAGAGTGATATTTGAACATAAATTTTACTTTCTATTGAATTTTGAGGTTTAAGTGTTTCCGAATCAACTTCAAATCTATTCCACATGGCTTACGGCAACGTTAAGCTATATTTTGGCAAACAAAATTCACAATTAGGTAAATTTTAACTAGTAAAACGATAGAAAATAGTTTTGAAAGTGACGTCACTGTTTCATCGATTTTAAAGCAGAAAGATTGAATTTTGACCATACAAACCGTGATAATATTTTCATATGAACGACGAACTGTTCGTTGACACAAAAAAAACCCGAATTTGTTCATTCAATTTTCATATGGGTCTTTTATTGACACCTGTAGGCTGATATTTGAACATAAATTTTACTTTCTATTGAATTTTGGGGTTTAAGTGTTTCCGAATCAACTTCAAATCTATTCCACATGGCTTACGGCAACGTTAAGCTATATTTTGGCAAACAAAATTCACAATTAGGTAAATTTTAACTAGTAAAACGATAGAAAATAGTTTTGAAAGTGACGTCACTGTTTCATCGATTTTAAAGCAGAAAGATTGAATTTTGACCATACAAACCGTGATAATATTTTCATATGAACGACGAACTGTTCGTTGACACAAAAAAAACCCGAATTTGTTCATTCAATTTTCATATGGGTCTTTTATTGACACCTGTAGGCTGATATTTGAACATAAATTTTACTTTCTATTGAATTTTGGGGTTTAAGTGTTTCCGAATCAACTTCAAATCTATTCCACATGGCTTACGGCAACGTTAAGCTATATTTTGGCAAACAAAATTCACAATTAGGTAAATTTTAACTAGTAAAACGATAGAAAATAGTTTTGAAAGTGACGTCACTGTTTCATCGATTTTAAAGCAGAAAGATTGAATTTTGACCATACAAACCGTGATAATATTTTCATATGAACGACGAACTGTTCGTTGACACAAAAAAAACCCGAATTTGTTCATTCAATTTTCATATGGGTCTTTTATTGACACCTGTAGACTGATATTTGAACATAAATTTTACTTTCTATTGAATTTTGGGGTTTAAGTGTTTCCGAATCAACTTCAAATCTATTCCACATGGCTTACGGCAACGTTAAGCTATATTTTGGCAAACAAAATTCACAATTAGGTAAATTTTAACTAGTAAAACGATAGAAAATAGTTTTGAAAGTGACGTCACTGTTTCATCGATTTTAAAGCAGAAAGATTGAATTTTGACCATACAAACCGTGATAATATTTTCATATGAACGACGAACTGTTCGTTGACACAAAAAAACCCGTATTTGTTCATTCAATTTTCATATGGGTCTTTTATTGACACCTGTAGACTGATATTTGAACATAAATTTTACTTTCTATTGAATTTTGGGGTTTAAGTGTTTCCGAATCAACTTCAAATCTATTCCAGATGGCTTACGGCAACGTTAAGCTATATTTTGGCAAACAAAATTCACAATTAGGTAAATTTTAACTAGTATTACGATTGAAAATAGTTTTGAAAATGACGTCACTGTTTCATCGATTTTAAAGCAGTAAGATTGAATTTTGACCATACAAACCGTGATAATATTTTCATATGAACGACGAACTGTACGTCGACACAAAAAAAACCCGTATTTGTTCATTCAATTTTCATATGGGTCTTTTATTGACACCTGTATTCTGTAGAGTGATATTTGAACATAAATTTTACTTTTTATTTAATTTTGAGGTTTAAGTGTTTCCGAATCAACTTCAAATCTATTCCAGATGGCTACGGCATCGTTAAGCTATATTTTGGCAAAAAAAAATTCACCATTAAGTAAATTTTAACTAGTATTACGATTGAAAATAGTTTTGAAAGTGACGTCACTGTTTCATCGATTTTAAAGCAGAAAGATTGAATTTTGACCATACAAATCGTTTTTGTATTTTCGTGCGGACTTCGAACTATTCTGTGATACATAAAAATTGTAAAATTATTCATTTCAATGTTTTAAATTAAATTCGAAGTATTGTGTTTTTACCTTATTCTAAATTGTGTTTATCTTATCATGCAGTTGGTGAGCTAGCTGTTTGTCGTTGCTCTTGGATGAATGTTTGTACAAATTCATGGAAATAAACTTATGAGAATATATATAGGCACCTGAACGGTCTCCCATGGAACTGACGTTGTCGTTCGGGTGACTATCACTTTGTATACGACCGGGGGCGCCGAAACCCATATTGATGTAGGGCGACTGTGGGTGGGTGGGTCGTGGGTGTGTGGATAGCGGCCGGTAGACCTAACCAAATATTTTATTTATCTTATTAAATTTTTCATTACATATTATATCTATTTAATAACTGTCTCCTAGAATGCAACTAAGAAATAATAATTAACCTAAATAAATATTTCGGTAAGGTGGGTGGGTATGTTGTTAAATATGATTTGCCCTATATGATTATATATATTTTTATAGTTCGGCGCCCCTCTTTACGACAACGGCCCTACCTTGATTTGGTTGTCACGCGGTTGTACGCTTGTGGCTGATCTATATGTATGAGTAATGAGTATGCCTAGGTACTTTAATGAAATAAAACAAGAACCTTTCCATATTATTGAGTGATTGAATATTATCCTAATATACTGTTATTGGTTTGTCTTCATAGTTTATTTTCAAATTTTAAATATTTGAGTGACTGCGTTTTGTCTGAAATCACCTATCGCCATACGCCCATACCATAACTGGTGGCCACAATACGTGGCCCCGGCGGGCTGTAGCAAGCGTAAAAATTATTTCAAACGATATAGCGCCGTTGCTCATGGTGTTAATGGGTTTTACGATATCATTGAAATAAATGTGTGAGAATCGGTACCCCGTACGCGTGCTTCCGATAGAACAAGCATCGTTGTTCGCGGCCACCACATCATTGCTCAGATCTGCGCGACTAATCCGGACCACTTAAGCGGCCGCTTGAGGTGACTGTTATACGTATTACGTCTGCGGGGACTGAGGGCACATATCACACGCATTGACAAAGTACGACTGCTTCATTAACTCACGACGGCGTAACACATAATGATGTTATATACAATATACATACTTTTTATGTAGGTCATCTCCGATAACATATCGTCTTCATCGATAGTTCAATTGTTGTTGTACAATGTATGTATATACGCACATAACAGTGACATCGACGCATCACACTCGTCGTTTGAATTCGAGCATAGCCTAAAATATTATGCTTTAATAAAGCATCAACGATGAAAATAGTATAAGCGTGTTTTTTTTTATATTAATCGTGATCGAACAATTTGTCGTTTGTGTTTACTGCGCTCAAAGACTGTGTGCAGCTTCACACATTGACTGTTTGATGACAAATCTGATTTTAAATTTTAAAAAAATCATTATCAACAAATTATATTGAACTGAATAAAATTAAAATTTTATAAAAACGTATCAATGTTGGATTACAGTTTGGAGTTTTCCACAACACGGCTGCATTTTTTACCGCGGTAACCCTTCGTCCTTCGTATTAAATTATCTCTATTAATTAATCTTAATTTATTTACTCAGGACACTACTGAATACTGAGTGCCGATCTAATGAGTGTGCGTCATGCATAATATTATGATAGCGCCGGAATGCTCGCATCGGCATCACATGTATAATAGTGTTGTGATGCATAGACATTTCGGTGATAACAAATTGTTTTTACCTCTTTTTCTTGTTTAGTCATTATGTAACATTGTTGTACAGGTATAGATGTGTATAGAAACTTTCCATTGAAAAATACATTTTTAATTTCTGAATTACATAAAAAAATTACTAAAAAATATTCTATGAAAAAATGTAATTAAATTCGTATTTCGTAAGGTTTTAAAAATCTGTTTGCCCTCCTGTCTCGTTTAACAACAAAGTAATTCCCTCGCCAGACGAAGTAAAATACCTAGGATTAATATTCGACAAACGCCTAAACTGGAGCTCGCATCTTAAACAAAAACGTAAATCAGTGAATGACTGCATCTTCTGAGACCTCTATTAAAAGCGAAACTTTCTTTAGCCAACAAACTCACAATATACAAATCAATAATTTGTCCAGCTTGGCTTTACGGCATCCAACTATGGGGGCCAGCAAAACCATCTAACACTAAAACCTTGCAATCCATATGTCTACGCCTAATAACTGCTGCCCCATGGCCCCCATGGTATGTTACCAACAAAAACCTCCACAAAGACCTGAACATACCAACCCTCAACGACTTAGCCAAATCCTGCTACATTAAATTTCACTCAAAGCTTCGAGCTCATCCAAATCCCATACTTAAATGTATATCCTCTACCTCAATTATACCTAGAGGCTAGAAGGCTAATAAGGCAATGGCCAAGAGATCTGCTCAATACTTAAAAAACATAATAAACAAAAAAAAAAATTAAAACCCTAATTTCTGGTCAGGTGGTACTGCTGGGAACCTTCCTTTTCTGTTATTAATGTTATTTTGTTATTATGTCATCACACTTACTTATTATACCATTGTATAATGTATTAATGTATTTGTATAGATTGTAAATACACTATGTTTAATAGAAAAAAAAAAAAAAGGTTTTACAAACTTGGAACGATCGTAATATTAATAATAAGTAAAAACAGTATAACACCCGCATTGGTGGTTTATCAGCAGTCGCCCGCGTCGTGTCGCGCGTCGTCCCAGTTTCGATGAAATTACGTAATAATAATAATAATAATAATATGTAAAAATACATATTATGAATTGGTTTTTACAAACTATATCACCAAAATCGATAGTCTATAATAATCGACGAATTTTAGTATTTTTGTTTTTCACCACATATGGTGATCGCATTGGGTATTTGTATTTTGTCATTTGACTGGTTAACGGCTAACAATTATGTCTAAGAAATTATTTGCGATCTTTTATGTGAATAAACTGTCTTCTGTGGCCTCGGTTAGTACTTATGTCACAGACGATACTGACCCAGACGACACTTTAAGTAGTCTAGGAAGTATAGCTACAGTTGAATCCACAAATGTGTCGATTTGGTGCCTGAAACTTGTGATCTAGGAACTTTATTGACTGGTCCAGCTCGTCCAGTACTTGAGGCAAGTATAAAACCAAATTTTCTTAAATGTTGTGGTTTATTGTATATTTATAACTATAATTGATGTATTTTGTTCCTACTATAGTCGAATCCAAAAACTGTTTTTTAACAAAACCGTGGTTTTAATTCCGTTTATTATTCTAGCTTTAATTGGCTAGAATATAGTATTTAACATGATGCTATTTACTGTTTTTGCTGTCGCAATTTTAGCGTAGCAAGTGATAAAAATGATTCTACGTTTACAAGTATTGGATTCAACAACTGGAAAAAAGCAAGTATTTTTTTCAATTTTGTATTAATTATTTTAATCATATTTAAAAATGTTTATTATATTTAATTATCTGGGTTAAGAGGAAAAAAAGGAAATAAACAAAGTAAACTGCACGGACATTCCACTAGTAAACAGCATTTAACTTGCATGGCCAAATGGGAAGCCTATACTTCAACCATAAGAACAGGAAGTGTCCACTCTCAAGTAGCATCGAGCCACAAGCTTCTTATAGAAAAAAATGTCCAATATATTAAAACTCTTGTTGATATAACATTATTTTTGAGCTGCCGGGGATTATCTTTTAGAGGACATGAAGAATCAAGGCTTTCACTAAATCAAGGTAACTAACTAAAATAATTAAACATATATTTTCAATTAAAATTTTTTCACTGCTAAAAGATTATCTAATAGGTACATAATATTATAACATTTAAAATACCAGATACATTTTTCACCACCTATAGACATGTATATTCTTGTTACAGGAAATTTTAAAGAAATTTGCAGTTTGATTTCAAAACACTATCCAGAATTTGTAGAAATGTTTCAAAATACTACCAATTACACTAGTCATGCTGTGCAAGATGAGTTAGCTAATTTATGTGCTGAGAACATAAGATATAAAATTACAAAAGAAATTGAAGACACTAAAGTTTTTGGTATTATGTGTGATGAAGCTAGGTAAGAATCTAACGTTTAAATTACAAGTATACAAAATTCAATTTAGTAAAGGTTTAACAATTATTTTGATTGTAACCCGAGACCCAATGAAAGAAGTTCTTTCACCACCTACTAACTGATTTATTTTTATTTTTATTTTAGGTGTTTTAAGCAAGAACAAATGTCTTTATGTGTAAGGTATACTGTTGGCCTTAATATCGTAGAACGATTTCTGGGATTTATTCACGTTTCTGTAGAACAAGATGCTGAATCCCTAAGTGCCCATATATTTGCTTATCTTACTAAAAATAACATGGACACGTTTCATGTTGTGGCACAATCCTACGATGGGGCAAATGTTATGTCTGGAAAGTTCAATGGTGTACAGGCTAAAATTAAAAATAAATTTCCATATGCCATTTATACGCATTGTATGGCCCATCGTATAAATCTTGTAGTAATTGATATGTGCAAATATGTTAAGGTAAATTATAATTTTTTTAGCTATATATATTTTTTTTGGTATAAGAGACTAGGACGGTTTTTAATACTATTGAAGGGTTGTATATCCACTTTTCTCATCCAACTAAAAACCAAATGCTCGTTATAAACCATGCAAAAACAGTTGGGAATAAAAAGTATTCATATTGGTTGCTTAAGTGATACTAGATGGAACTGTCGGTTTAAGAACTGTGAAGCAATATTACACAGTTATAAAGCTATTATTAACGTTTTACAGGAAGAAACGGATAATCAAACTGATAGAAATGCAAATGAAGCTTTAGGTAAATCGTATAAAACATTTAAAATAATTAGATTATAATATTTTAATATTTTTTTTCAAGGTATACTTACAAATGTCAACAAGCTCATTTGTTGTTAATTTGTTTGTTTAAAAAAATATATTGTCCACAATAAATATTCTTTGCAACATGTTTCAAGAAAAAAATGCGACACTAGGCAAAGCAACAATTCTTATCAAGAGTGTTTTACAAACTTTTGAAAATGGTAGATCTACTCATGCTTTTAATAATTTATGGTTAGAAATCCAAGACTTTGCTAAAGACTACAACATTAACTTTGATATACCATTTCAAACAAAGTAAATATTATTTAATAATTTTATAGTTAGGTGTAGACTGTAAAAAGTAAAAATTATAAGTATTTTTGTATTTTAGGATTAAAACGAATAAGAAGAGAACCCATAGATTTAATGATTTTGTTTTGATTACTACTTCTGGTGCTGAAGAACCCAATGAAGTTGATAATGCTACTGCTGAAAATTATTTTCGTGTAAATGCATACTTTAAAGTTTTAGATTCCATTATTGTCAATATGTTCCATTATGGTTAGATTGTTTAGTAAGTCAAACTTTGTAAATAGTCTGTAAATTGTCTTGTTGAAATAAATAATTGCTAGCGACTAGTACATATTAGTGCCTATATGGGTGCAATGAGAAATATAATGCTCAGCCCCCCCCCCCCTAAGTAATTTCACCAAATTTCCGCCTATGATTACAACCCATAGTTTTCTAAGTTTTTGAGTAACTTATTCTAATAATTAGGATAGATTGAAGTCATTAATTACCTTCATCACTGCTCTGCCGTGCTAAGCGAAAAAGCAGTATCTCCAATTTTAGTCGAAATCGAGATATTGCTACACGGGGGTTAACAATGTGGTTTTGTACCATTTTTCGCAGTGAAAAAGCAGTATAACCAATATTTAACATTGAAAATGAGCATTTGAAATTAAGAAAATAAACAGTAAGTCCATAATTTTTGTGAAACTAGAATCAAAAATACAGTAAATCCCAATAAGTAGCAAATAAGCAGTAAGTGACGTGGAGTTACTGTTATTTCACTTATTTTCAAAACATTTTAAACAGTATCTCCGTATTTACTATTTGATAATATTGGTGTATATTGTATAAATTATATTTTGTAGTCACAACCACAGTTTCAGATTTATATTAAAGGTATATCAATCGTGGTCACAAACTCACAAGGCTGATATGTTCATTATCAATTTCATGGAATACTGAATTATTAACAAATATTCTATTTTTAGGCTATGTTATCATAGATTAGTCAATTATTGTTGTTTGCAATGCGAGGAATGGAAGCAACATACTGCAAATCATAGTAAAGACTCATTAAATTTATCTTCTAATACATGTAATGTATGTAAAAAGTATGAAGTACATTTGAAGTTATATACACAAGCAAGATCCTTGTATGAAAGTCATAAAAAAGAATTGAATAGTGGTTCTAAATTAACTGTTTCTGTTGATCTTCAGAAAGTTATTATGTTACTTCGCATGGAATGTTTCAAAGCAGCTATATTCACTAAAAGAATAATAGTATTCAATGAAAGTTTTGTGCCAATAGGAAAAAAAAATAAAGTTAAACCTTTAGCTATCATATGGCATGAAGGTGTGTCTGGAAGAAAACAGGAAGATTTGACAATTTGTTTTTTTCAGTTTCTTTTATTTAATAAAGATGTTAAAAATATTTCTATATGGATGGATAACTGTGCAGCATAAAATAAAAATTGGTGCCTACTGACATTCTTGATTTATGTTATTAATTCACATGAAATTGAAACTACTGAAATTAATTTGTTCTACTTTGAACCTGGACACTCATTCATGTCTGCTGACAGTTTCCATCACCAAGTCGAGTTATCAATGAAAAAAACAGGTAAAGTGTATGATTTTATGGACTTTGAAAAAGTTATCCGTAAATCCAATAGTGGGCATGTAGATGCAAAATCAATGGATCTCAAAGACTTCTATGATTGGAAATCAAAATGTTCTGTTTACAAATTGAACAAGCAAAATATAAGACCAATGCTTAGTGACATTGTTCATATAAAGGTAGAAAGAGGGTTGAATTATTTGCTTTACAAAACTGACTACAGTGAATATTGTCCATTTAGAAAACTTGATTTTTTTAAAAACAACATCATTAAAAATGGAATTTCAAAACCAGACCAAAAAACTAAAGTTCTTGGTATTCATCCAAGTAAAAAGGAAAGTATCATAAAAACATTAGTTCCTTTAATGCTAGAAACAAGGAAACAATTCTGGCTAGATTTTCCGTGTGCTATTGAAGCACTAGATTTATACAGTGACAACGAAAATTAAAAATGTTATTATAATGATAGTTATTATTATAAAAATGTCACTCTGATTAAATTATGTTTAATTATTTTATAAATTGTTAATTTAAAGTAAAAAGTACTGACTTGTTCAAAAGTGTTTGCAACTTATTTATTTATATAATAATATGCAGTGGTGTATTGGTAAATATATTTATGGGTATACGCACTAATAAAATATGTATAATCTACCAAAAAAAAATTTTCTCGCTTCGCTCGTAGTCAATAATCATTACAATAATTAGGTGACTTAATCTCTTATATTATATTATTTTTATTTTATTTCTTTATTAAATTTTCAGTATTTTTACTAATATAATAATATTAAAATTAACACTGATCATCAATGGAACCGACTAGTATTCATTCTTCTTTGTCAAACGATACTACGATAAGTACAATAAGTCGTAAACTCGAATAGCAAGATTCAAGAAGGAAAATACCCATTATTGCAGTAACAATAATTTATAAATAAATCTATAAATAAACACCATAAACCATTTAATTGGCCATAGCCTGATAAACACTTAATAACATCAGTGGTTACAAAAACATAACATCGCAAGAAACACATTTGCCGCGCGTTATAATTTATAAATGACATAATACAGGTTGAGAACCATGGACTGAGCATTCATACTCCATATTGGTAATATTACATAATATTTTAATAACATCTATTTTTCAAAATGTTATTAATAAATTTAATTTAAAATTCATTATTATATTAAAATAACAATTTTTCCTATGAATAATTGGTTTTCGAGTTATTTTAAGAGCGTATACCCGTAAAATGATATTTTACATTGGGTATACGCCGAAAATCGAAAATCTGCTGACGGGTATACGGCGTATACCCGCGTATCCGTACCAATACACCACTGATAATATGTATATTGTACCAAATATATTATATAAATATGTTATTAGTTATTACTATTTACTACTAAGTACTAAGTAGTAAGTTAGTAATTACTTTATAGATTTTTCTATTAATTTTCCTTATAATATTATAAAGTTTAAAATAAAAGACAGTATCTCCCTAGAAATGGATATACTGTAAATTTGCTTCTGATAGTGCTTATCAAATAAGCAGTAAGTCCATTTTAATGGTCGAGGAATTAACGAAAATATTTAAAAACTCATAAAATCAATTCTATGATATACGCTTAGTATATACACGTTTATTTTAGGATTGTATGTTAATTATACTTGGTGCACGGATCAGTAATGAGTCTAAAACTATTTAGTCGATTTCCCAACATTTTGCTTAGATGGAGATACTGCTTTTTCGCTAAGCACGGCAGAGCTTCTACTGTCTGATACATCTAGTGTTGTACGTTTACTTTCGGTCATCAATTGAACCTCTTCATTTTCCGATTCTTTTTCAGCTCGTGTATGCCACCTTTTTTAAAATTATCCAAGTTGTCGGTAAATCTTAAATTAGAAAAAATGACAGCGAAATAAAATAATTTTTTAAATAAGTGTATACATTTTTTTAAATATAACATACAGGTTATTTATTATGATACCATAAACATACTACATTATGAATACATACTTAAAATAATAATAAATATAAACTTTGTAAACTATTGAATAGATTTTATTTTACATACCATGTTCTATTGCCACAAACTATTTTAATACCATACTCAAACCAAGTTGGTTCTGGATCTAGGGCATCATAAATGTCAGTAGGTACTGGTTACTCGACCAAGTGGCCATTTACAAAACCGTACACTACTATTTTTTAGATATTTTGTTTCATTTTGAACTAGTCACTTTGTTTGCACTGCACTGTAATCATTCAAATCCACAAATACCACAATAACTTTAATCTAAAATGGATAGACATACATTTATTTTTTAGTTGAGTATCGGCTACCTATGTTATTATATACTAGAAATATAATAGAAATAATTTGATAAAAAAATTAAAGGCACCAGTTAGGCTCCTAAAATCTACCGTTACAGACAAAAATGTAAACAGTCCTATAATTGCAATGTGTATTTTTTATACTTGTAAAAAACTTAATTTTTCAATAAATACGAGTAAATGAACAAGAACAATTTTTTTTAGGACTTAGGTAGCTACTTTTTTTTAGTATTGTAATTTTTAAACAGTGTTATGAACTTTTTTTAAAAAATAAAAATTAATTAATTGGATATATTATATTTACATAGGATACATCCACACCAAAGGTAACTAGGTATCAAACATTATAAAAAATAGCTATAAATTATGGTAGACGATTGAGATAGAAACAATTACATATATTTTCTGGTTAATAAATTGCATTATTTAAATTTAATAAATGATAAATAAATTAAACTACTTGGCAATTATATATAATATATAAAAATGAAATGTTATAAAAATAAATCATAGGTATAACTATGAATTACTTATAAAAGGTATTAAAACGGAAATAATGTTTTTAATGGAATGTTTTTGGGAGGAAACTTTAACATAATATAATCATTAGGAAAAATCACAACTAAAGAACTACAATCATGGTTGTTCATGAAATCATATAAGAACATGTTTGTTGATTGTTCAAAATAAAAACATAATCAATGGTGAATGCACATATATGTTGTCACATACTCACATATCCGGTATCGATTTGTAGCCATGTAGGTACATAATATTATGGAGCCATGGAGGTAGAGATGTCGGACGACAGCGCTACAAGAGCATGGAGCCCGAAGGTGCACATTTTAACTTTAATAATAGTTATACCTAATATTATGATATACTATGTAGATCCGGTCACTGTCCTGCGCCAACTGGATGCATCAATAGTTTTTAATGAGCTGAAATATGCAGGCCCGACAAAAATCAAGTTGGAAAGTCGTGATTTCACCGCAGGCATTGTAGTGCATGTGACTTCAACTGGTGATACACCCGTCATCGCGGTTTTGAACTAAAACGAACCCACACCTGGCCAAGATGTCATTATCAACGACATCTACATAATATTAATATATTTACACGTCATGTCCCGTCTTCTACCTTGACCAAGTGTGCGTCCAAGTGTCAGCCATGTCGCTATGTCGCGACAGCCGTTTTTTTATAGCATCACGTATTATTTTATTAATTACACTGACGGTTTATGGCCATTTTTGTTACATGTCCGCTTAGCCGTAAGTGTCATCTTAATTTCAATGTGCAT